AAGTACTCATTTTTTTAAGACTCTTTCTGAACCTATATCTATGATGATGTTTCATGGTGTATCCAATATTTTTCATTTGGTATTTATCTGTAGTTATATTATATGCCTCAACATAGTGCTATTTAGAAAATGCCAAATATCAATAAAGACAATTGTTATAATATATCGTATTTCTTAAATTATGATTAATAATACCTTATTGTCTTCAAAAATACAAAAAATATTATTATAGGCTGGAGATACACGTCGTATGCAACTGAAAGTATTATTTCCAGCATCTTCACATTTACATGCCATATCTTTTGTACATAACTGAGAAAATTGTGAATTTTAGAAAAATAATATTAGCACTAAATATTTTATATATATTTGTTCCCACATATACAAAACTTACTGTAAGGTTTGGATCATTATCACTTGGACAACCTGATGATGGAATACCTTTAGATATTTCTCCCCTGTATTCTATTAAAAGAGTTCTATCCTCTGATAATGTCTGTTGTAAGAAAGATGTGCCATCTGATGGATGTTGAATACCAGCTATTTCTAAAATTGTAGCAAATAGATCAACACTGCTAACAGGTGCAGAAATTTTTGATAGTGAAATTCCAGGACCACGTATTAACAATGGAACTCTAATATCTGTTTCATATGGTTGACGTTTATCAATAGGCATACTGAACTGACCTATAAATTACAATATTTAACCCATATATGCATTTTTAATTCCTGTGTAATTTATATAGACATTTATTTATACATAAGATATATTACCAATATGATATCCATTATCAGATGTAAATATAATATAAGTATTGTTTAAAAGATTTTGTTGTTTTAAAGATTCATGCACACTTTTTACAAGTTCATCAACTGCTAACAATGTTTCCCATCTTTGACTATATATTTCATCTAATTTAGGCAATAAATTATTAGGAAGGGGAGATGGTCCTCTTTGTACTAACCAATGTTTATCCTATCATGTAATCTAATTCAGTAATATAATATAGCAGTATCAATATTTGTGCAAGGAATATCATACCATTTGTGTTTGTGTATTAAAATTAGGTGTTCTCTTAGCTTTTACACCTTTATATGTGTTAATATGTCTCTTTGCTGGTGTAAAAGGTGCATGAGGTGCAGGTGGTGCTAAAACCATAAGAAATGGTTGATCATTTGAATTACGTGTTCTAATAAATTCTACTGCCAATGTACTCTGAAAGAAAGTTATTTTGAATATATTACAACAAAAAAATAATTATTAACATTATTGTCTTACACTCACTCACAATTACATCAGTAAGATAATCAGTTGAGTCACTGCCAAATTTTTTTTTTGTTCCATTAATGGACAAAGAGTAATTATAGTAT